CAAATACTGATACAAGATAAGAAAAACAAATAGGGATAAATATTGGAATGATATAAACATGGCAGTTTTTTGTAGAAGCTATAGTTATCTTCATGTAGTAAGCCTGGAACATCAGAACAAAAGCATTAGGAGTAATAATAGAGGGATTAATCAAGTACCTGGATATAAGGTAAATATATGTAATTTTAGAGTTCCACTGTATATTCTCAATGGCCAGTTATTAAACTGTTTTTAAAGAATATATTTATAGTAGTAATAAAATTATTTTTTAAATCTTGGGATAAAAATACGTATGTGTTGAACCTTTAAATGGAACATTTTATGAAACATTATTGATAAATATTAAAGACCAGAATACATAGGTATTCTGTGTTCATGATTAAAAAGAGTCACCACTGTAAGAATGTCTTCATATTTATCTGTGAATTCCATATGAGTCCAACAAAAGCCAGAGCAGTTTTTCAGGAAATTCTGTGTCTATTTTAGAATTGCATAGAAGAGAAAAGGCACACAGATGGCTAAAACAATGTTGAATAAGATTAGAGAGGGGTGTTTGTCATATTAGCTAAAAAGGCAGTCAGCAATCACACTCCCAAGCTCCACTGTGGCAAGTTTGCTTGTTTGATTTTCTACCTGTTCTTGCTGGAGCCCAGGTTCATTAACTGCTGGGCAAATAGGAACCACTGTGCCTGGAAAAGATCAGTGCCTCCAGCCTACAAGGCTCTATGTGGATAATTGACCACTGGGGGCACCACTGGGGCAGCAGTCACTCAACAGACAAAGATTATCCATGTTATGAAACTGAGCTAGACCCAACTGGTGCCTTCCAGAGGCTGTAAACTAGCCAACAAGCTTTCTGGTCCACCTCTCTCCTGCCTATGCTTGGCCACCCCTACCCCCAGCTCCTTAGTGAGGCTCAGACAGGACCACAGATGGCTCAGGTCACTAGGCTTGTGTGAGCAGTGGCTAAGACCCAGAGATGGTGGGGACAGGAGGAGCTATTCCCCTGGCACCACAGAGCTCTTGGCTCCCAGCCCTAGCCCCAACCCTCCTTCAGGAAGTCCATTCCTTTGCTGTAGTGCCCTCACATACCCAATCTTCACCTATATCTCGAGAGATCTTTGTGAAAGACCAGGCAGCCTAGGTCACTGATGATTTTCTACATTATTGAAAATGGAATCCAAAGTCTTTCCTTTTGTGTCTTAGTTCATTTATGGTAATAACTGAATGCCACGGTCCAGGAAGTTTACCCCTCCCCTGAAAAGAAGCTTATCTAGCTTCTAATTCGGGAATTCCAAGAGCACGGTCCAAGAGTGCATCACCAGCATCTTCTGGGCATCTGGAAAAGGTTGTGTGGCTGGGTCACAACAGGGCAGGGGCATCACTTGGAGAGACAGAACAAGTGCACCAGAGGGAACTGCTTTCATAATAAAGCCACCCCACCACAGATAATCCACTAGTCTAATCCATCAACCCAAGAGTGGATTCATCCATGTGTGAAGACAGAGCTATGACCCAGTCACCTCTCAGTATCCCACCTGGTCCCACCTTTTACTGCTCTTCCCTGGAATTAGATTGGAGCATGAGCTGGGGGTGGGGCATGCACGTCACAGCACTTGGCCCAGGGCCCCCAGCTCAGGCATGGGCCATTGTGCCCCTTCTTCCTGTACACACTGGCTTCTCCCTCACTGCTGTGGGACTCTCTTGGCTTTGTCCAGCCTCAGAGCCTTTGCACCTGCTGTCCCTCCAACAGAACACTGTCTCCCACACTGAACTTGCTGTCCCAGCCTTGCACAGCAGTCTCAGCTCATATGTCTGACTTGTGTCTTCATTTCTTCACATTCCTTGTCACTCTCTGATGGAGTATGTTTCCTCCCTGAGGAACTAAGCTCCATAAAAAGAAGGACTCAGCCTGCTATGCTGCTGCAGCCTTTTGCATGTGGAGGTATCTTATTGGGAAGTATTTGTTGAATGAATGAATGAATGAATGAACAAATGAATGAGTGGCCCAGTGACAGGAAAATAGATCTAAGAAACAGAATAAAAGTTAGAATACATTTTCTCTATGTTTTTAACTTCTTGATATCACAAAATTTTAAATTATATAGGAGAACTTAAAAATTAAAGCTTTCTGGTGTCTTAGGTACTCTTCTCTCATTGCTGAGACAAAGTACCCAATGCCCAAAGTTAAAGGAGAAAAGGTTTATGTAGCTCAGAGTTTATAGAGGTTTCAATCATTGGCTGGTTCCAAGGCAGGGAGGCGTGGCAGACAGATTGCAGAGGAGAAACAGTTCATGGAGGGCAGAAGGCAGCAAAGCAACAAGTGATGACCACAGCTCTTTCTATCTTACCCAGGCTACCCAGGGTGGGTAGCACTCACACCCTTAGTCCTAGTGCCCTTGAGTCTGGCATTGCACCATGAATCAATCCCAGCATCACACACTCTGAAAAAGCCCCACCTATGATTCCATGAGGCTTTGGGAGGACACCTAGGCACAAACCATAACACTAGGCAAACAAAAATTTTCTTACTGAAACTTCTAGAAATGGTGTTGTTAGACCCAGTAACAGGCAAATATTGGGGTATCGCTGAGTGTCCTGGAGGCTCTGGTTGGAGAGGACAGGGAGCAGCCTGGCGAGTGCGGCCCAGCCCCCTCAGTCATCCTGCACTTGGCAGCTGCCTCCAGTGGAGACCCATCCCCCGCCTGCCAGGCCTTGTTCCCATCTCCCCTCTCCGTGAATGAACTGTACCTTACCTCACTCTTGCTCATCTGTAACAGCACAGTGGCTCCCTAAGATGGCTCACCACTCTTTGTTCAATGTGTGTGAGCAACGGGCCACAACCCTTCCTTTGTCTGAATCACAGCCCCGCTACTATCTCTGACTCAGTGTTTCCCTCCCACCCACACCCGCCTGCTAGAGCTGACTCCCTCCCCACCATCCCACAGCCCTACAAGGAAGCCTGGAGCTCCAGCCTGCATGCCAGCCACGTTAGCCGAGTCCTCTTCCTCCAGGGGCTGCGTGCACCTTCAGAGCAAGGACACTTTCTTTTCCCTGTCTCCACCACAGAGCCCAGTGCCTGTCACAAGTAGGTGCTGAGTAAACATCTGGAAAACTCATGACTTGGGAACACAATAAAGAGCTCCCTCTTCCTGGCCTTTGTTGGGGACAATCAGAAGCCTGGACAAGGAGAACTGTGCAGCCCCTCTGTGACCCCAAGTCCCTGTCACAGGAGGCTTTAGGGCTCGATGACACTTAACACCTTCCAACCCATCCTGTGACTGGATCATGGGTCAGGCCCCCTCCCAGGGGCTTCTGGCCAAGGTCACTGAAACACTGCATGCACAATGACACCCCAGTAGTGCAGTCATCATGGGGTGATGGGTCCTTGTTCCCAACCTGATGGTGACCCTCCCTCCAGTCCCTCCATCCCTCGGGGCCTCCATGTACTCTTTTATTGAGTGAGGAGAACAGTGTGGTCCTAATACTCACAGATCTGAAGTGCAGGTCCCAGCTCCCAGACACCATTCTGTAATCTGTTATTCCATGGCTACAGCCCATGAATCCATAAGGATCATCACAATGTCCTGTGATATCAGGTGCTATTGTACAACTGCTTACCAACATCTCAGATTCTGTGTGCTGGCTCTTTGGTCCTTGGGAAGCCCAGTACATTTGTAGTCTTTTAAAAAGCCAATTCAGTATTGTATCCATTTTCTGTTCAGAAACAACAGAAAAAAAAATAAATATACACCCTAAAACATTGTAGCTCAAAAACACCAAATGTTTGGATCTCATGTTCTGTGGATTGTCTGGGCCCCACTGATTGGTTTTTCTGCCCCACATGAGGTCAGGCATCTGCTGAGGAATGTCCAGGGGACTCACACATGGCCAGCCAGCAGGGCTGGGTATCCCTGGGAGCCTGGCTGAACTTGTCAGCCAGAGCATTTCAGTTTCCCGCTCAGGGCTTCTCCCTGTGGCTTGGGATCCATTTGTTCTTTCAATGCCTGGATCTGGATGTCCTGGACATTGCTGCCTTGAGGGGCTCCAAGAGCAAACTCCAAGTGAGAGGGGACAGCAGTAGAGCCCAGATTACAGGGACAGTTGGGAAGAACACATGGTTAGACACTGCAAGTCCCAGTGCATCTGGGTCAGTCAACATCCCAGAATTATGACAAATTACCTGAGGTGATCAGCTTACAGGAGAAAAGTTTTTTCTGAGTTTTCAGTCTGTGGCCACATGGCCTGCTGCTTTGGGCCCAGGCCAGCAGGTATGTCAGGGTGCAGGTGCATGGGTACAGGAGGCTGCTCACCTCATGGCCATCAGGAAGCAAAAGAGGAAGGGCTGGGTTTCAATATCCACTTTCATCCCGTGTCCCTGGTGATCTCACTTCCTCCTGCTGGCCTGTCTCCCTAGAGGGTCCAACACCTCCCAGCAGAGCCCCAGGCCAGGGACAAAACCATTCCAGGTGCGCATGATGGCCCTTAGGAATAACAGCAGCTGTTGAAGACAGTTGAAGGCATGTGTTGAGCCCACCACCAGTTAAAACTTGTCTGCTGCCCAGATGTGGTCATGCATACCCAACATCCCTCTGAGAGGCAGAGGCGAGAAGATTGCAAGTTAGAGCCAAGCCTGGGCAATGCAGTGACTTACAGACCTTGCCTCAAAATAAAAAATAAAAAGGGCCAGGATGTAACTCGATGTGAAGGCCCTGGGTTATATCCTGGGTACCAGAAATAAATGTCTACCTGCCAGAACCTGGGGACTAATGCCAGGTACTCTGCTTATTTCCCCCATGCTGAGGATGAGGAGACCCACAGATGTGCAGAGAACATAGAACTGAAAGCCGTTTCCCCTTTTCCTTCTTTGCTGAAACTCCATGACTAAGGCAACATCATCGCCTCTCTCTGGGCCTCCACTCACTCTTTTGCTGCACAGGGCCCTCAGTCTTGAGGATGCCAAGGGCCTCTTCCCTGACTTCTGTCCCCTGTGCTCCTAGGTACTCCTTCCAAGACGAAGAGGACATGTTCATGGTGGTGGACCTGCTGCTGGGCGGGGACCTTCGCTACCATCTGCAGCAGAACGTGCACTTCACCGAGGGCGCTGTGAAGCTCTACATCTGTGAGCTGGCGCTGGCCCTGGAGTACCTGCAGAGGTACCACATCATCCACAGGTACCGGTGCTGGGACACCGCTAAAGGGCACACAGGGTGGCAGGCACAGCAAGGGGAAGACTTTGTCCCTGGTGTTGTCTGGAAGGGGCTGAACCTGGGGACAATAAAAAGCAGAACAGCTTTCCTATTGCTTTCACATTCTCTGCATACAGACAGCCATCTTCCTGCCTGGGTGGAGAATGGCTGGGGACAGGGGCAGGGCTGGGGTTGGCTGTGGCTTCTTCACTGTAGGGCGTTTGGGATGGGCTGTCATCCGGGGTCAGCAGGGCTACCGTGACATTACCCTACTCATGAGCTGGGAGCATGAGGGACGCCACTCTCTTCCTTCCCGTCCTTTGAGGGATGTTGTGTATTGTGGAGGATTTGTTTTGCTTCAAGCCTCCGTGCTGGTTCTGGGTTTTGGATGAAACTTGTGCTCCTGCTCCTTCTTAGGGACTGTTCACGTTTTCCTGCCTGGGTCCAGCAGTACAATGCCCAACGCGGCCAAGCAAAATGAGTTGGCCACAGAGCAGCAGCTTAGCAAGAAGCTTAAGAAAGCTGGGGCTTTAATCTAAGGTCTTTTCCCCAGCCACAGTCAGGGTTAGGGCAAAGGGCTCCAGATGTGTTCACCCATGGTCTTGCACTGTGTCTGCCTGATCTGCTTCTAAGGTAAATTTGTTGAAGACTTGGAAAAGGTAAGGACTTAAACTTCTAGGTGAAGAAGGCAGATGAAGCGAGCAAGGGTGCGCGCGCGCGCACACACACACACACACACACACACACACCTCTATATTTTCTACAAACCCTAATGAAATTGTTCCCAAAACGTTCAATTCATTAGAATGGGGAAAAGTGAGTAGTGACTACTGCACATTAGGAGGTGAAAACGAGATGTACAGTGACGAGTAGGGCACTCAGATTCAGAATTGAACTTTAAATTGTCGTTGGAGTCATGATTGAGAGATACTAAAGAAAGCCCCAAAGGCTCATGGAGTGACAGCAGTTTCTCTGGAAGGGGGAAAGTTGAAAAACGGCTCCAACAAGGTGAGTTGGTTGAAAACCTCTAAGAAGTCCCAAAAGCCCAGGCCTCTTTCTCTGCTCAGCATCGCTGCTGTAGCTGGCTGACCTCTGCGCCCAGGAAGAAGACTGAAGGTTGGTCCCCAGGGAGAGTAACAGAGCGTCTGGGCTCAAGGTCATCATCCCTACTGGCTGGGGTACTGTACAGGAAGCAGCAAGATCTTCTAAACCTATATCTATCAGATGCTGACATAACACCTTCCTATCCCAACGAGGGCCAGAGAAAGGTGCCTGTGAGCCCGCATCTCCAGGGAAAAAGCAAGCTCTTCCCATGGGAATGCGTTAGAGCCATACCAAGGGATTGTGATGCCAGCAGTTGCTCATGACGGCTTATCCTGTACGTCAGAATGCACAAATCCTACATGTTCATTACCCACTCCCAGCTTTGTCAGTAACAACCAAGGGCCAAATCATCCAGGGAGTCTACCATCAAGGTCTAAGCAACCAAATGGCAAAAGAGCTAGAAATAAACAGGCTCTGAAAGCATTAACATAAAGATGATCGGTATTTTCAGAGGGATAAGAGATTCTTGCAAGTGTAAAATTTAAAAAGGCACTTTTTAAATTCAGAGAACAAATAAAACTCTTATAAAAGTGTAAAACCAGAAGTGAAAAACTCAAATGCTACTTTGGAAGAAAAAGTTTCTGTACGCTCCCATAAAGCACAATAAAAAGACAAGAAAAAAAGTAGGAGGGAAAAGACAAGGAAATTGGGGTCACACTGCACAAATTTTAACACTGTCAGAAGGAAGAAGACATAGAGGAAGAAATCATTGTGAAAGAATTGAAGAAAATCTCCCTAACCTGAAATACAGGACCATCCAGATTGAAAAACCCTTTCTGGGGCTCAGAGCCATAGTCAACTTCATGCTCCATAAGCTTCCAGGGAGGAGCCACTGGCCATAAAGGTGGAAGGATGGTAACAGCTTGGATTGGTCTCATCCTGGAAGCAGTGCCAATCAGTAGCGAGGATGCACATTCTCACAAGTTCCAGGTCTCAACAACCGTGCCTTCTGTACACCTTCTCTAGAGTACAAGAAAAGCAGGTGGACCCTAAAATGAAGGGGTCAGTCAAGGAAGAGGAAAAAAAAGATAGAGAAAGCTGGAACTCTGGCCAAAAAGAGACATGAGAGGTTCTGGGGCGGGGGATGCTGAAGGGTGTGTGTTGTTTGCCTGTGGAGTGGAGTGGCCTGGGAGACCCCCAGAGACCCTCCCCAGGAAGAGCGAGCTGGTGGGACTCCTGGTGGATCCGGCTGCTGTCAAAGGAGACTCATTTAGTTGGCAAAAGGCCTGAAGTTCAGTTAAAATGAGAAATTTCTTTTAAGACCTCAACAACAGAAATAAAAGACAATTATTAATTCTAGGGAGTGAAAACGCTGTACGAGACAACATGTCTGTACAACATCAAGTACCGTGCAGTTCACTGCGTGAGTCGGGTCATCTGTGCATGTAATACTTCATCATAGTTACCTGAAAACTCATCTCTCCAAATACGGGAGTACTCCCTGGAGAGCACAGAGGAGGGGACAGACAGATGCGTCTCCTGGAGCCTGGGGAAGCAAGCTTGCCAGATCGGCAGCTCTCATAATAGGAGACAACAGAGAGAGCCTGAAGCTAAAATGTGAAAGGGGTTACGTCTGTCCTGTGGAGAGAAGGAATAAATGTCAAATTCACAGTCTGAAAGGGCTGGGTGGATGGGTGGATGTGTGGATGTGTGGATGGGTGGATGGGTGGATGGGTGGATGTGTGGATGGGTGGATGGGTGGATGGGTGGATGGATGGATGGATGGATGGGTGGATGGGTGGATGGATGAGTGCTTGCTAGAGAAAACTGAATGAGGAGAAAGCGGTAGGAACTGTCACTGTGCTGTAAGCTTGCAGAACATTCAGCTCTTTGAATATTTGCATGTATAACTTGGACACGAGTAACAGCAACAGATGTGCTAAAACAAAGCGGGGAGGGCTGCCATACCAGCGGCCGTGGTAGAAAGGGGCTCGTTCACGGTAACGCAGAGTGATAATGAGGGCTGTGGTTCATTCACCAGGTTGTCCCCAGCTTTGGGCGTGTTTGCGAGCACTGTGCTGTGCTGAGGGGGGGGGGAGGGCACAGTCCGCTTCTGCTGCTGACCGGGCTTCCTTGGAGGCACCGAGAGCGGCACATTCTTTCCTGATCTGGTACACGTGTGTCTTTCGTGAGTCGTCAAAGCCATCCCTGCACGGGTGCAAGAAATGGCCCATTGTTCCAGTTCCCTCACTCACAGAACCCTGCAGACACTGGAGAGACAGATGCCCACTCTAAGAGCAGTACCAAGGACAGGACAGGCAGAAAATGGAACTGTCACATCCCAGCACAGCTACCTGGAACCATGTCACTATGTTTCAGCCAACGTTTTAAGGTCTCTCTCCAAGGTGCTTCTTTGGGGCAACTCATCTACCCTTAAATTTCAGATCTACCCTAGAGAAAGGAGAACTTTTTAAATTCACCAAGTCAATGTGTGATGATCAATTCTATGTGTCAACTGACTGGGCATCTGGTTCACTGATTGAACATGACCTGTGTGTCTCTGTGAGGCTGCATCCAGAAGAAACCAGCCCTGCATAGAAGATGAGCTTCCCAGGTAGACAGGGCTCATCCAGCCACTGAGGGCCTGAGTCCAACAAACAAGGAGAAGAAGCGTAAAATCACACTGTGATTGCGTGAGCAGATACCCCTCTCCCTCTCCTATCCTCAGAGTGGCTGCTCCTGGTTATTGGCTCTAAGGGTCAGGACAGTCCTTACACTATCAGCTCCTCAATTTTCAGATGTCTGGACTTGCAGTGAGTTACATCAGTGGCTGTACTGGGTCTCCAGCTTGCAGGTGGCAGATGCAGGATTTGTCAGACTTCATAACTTAATGAGCCAAGTCCTGCAATAAATCTCTCCATATATAAATATATATATATATATATATATATATATATATATATTTGGACCTGTTTCTCCAGAGAAGCCTGACTACTATAGTTCAGTTATCTCACCTAAAATTATAGACTTGGCAAAGATTTCTTGTGCTTTTCTCCCCTCCCATGTGGTGCATAAATCCCTTTGCAATGTGTGCATATGTACAGATTTGAAATTATGTGTGCCTGTACACACTGTGCGTAGGGTTGTATGGTGATTCCTCACAATGTTTTACATTACCTCAACAGCTGGATTTACAAGTCCCCCACTGCGCTTCTGCCTGACACTTGCAGTGCCACACTACACCTCCAGATGAGTGCTGCTCCTTTCAACACACTTGGAAACAGAAGGGTCCAGCCACAAAGCCAAGCCAGGGTTGGACTGACAAGGACTTTTATCACCAACTTTGGTGGATGTAGGCAAGTTACCCAGCTCCACTTATTCAGTCTTTTGGACCTCAGTTTCGTAGTCTGACATCCATCTGTCAGACTGTTAACCAAATTCCGTGAGAGCAGGTTCACAAAGGCCTTCACCATGTCTCATTTCATTGAGGTGCCTCCGTCCTCTCACCTTTAGGGAACTTGACTTTCAAACTAGAAGTTCAGTCTGTCCTGTATATTCAGCAGTGAGGAATCTCTCTCCTCTGAGGGTGGTGTTATACACCTTTAGAAAATAAAGGTATTTCAGGGCATAACTTGGAGAGTTTGGTAGTTCCCAAGCAGGAGAACACCAGCATAGTGTCAAAATAAGGTGTTGTTAAGAAGCAGTTCAATTTGCTGTTCATAGTTTGAGTTGAGTCTCATTATTTTAACAACCATCTGGTCCAGCGGTGTGTGAGCCCCTGGGAGAAAAATGCTGAATGAGACTCTGCCGCTGCTCCTGAGCAGCCTCCCACAAGAAGAGGAAGCACCCATTCCAGGGGCCGAAGGGCGGAAGCCAAGACCAGACGGCACACTGCCACACTGCAGCTGGTAAGCGCTCTGGGCGGGAACGTGAATGCAGAG